GACACAAAGATTTTCCCCCTCATCATTTTTAACTGCCCCCTCAGTCACTTCATCCTGGCGCCAGGCCTGAAACCAGGAAATATTTTCCATCAAATATGATCCAGTTTCAGCAAAATCAGTGAATAAAGTTGTGCTTTTATGAAGTAAGCAGTGGTATTTTTTGTCATTGATGGACCAGATGGTTGTGCACCACAGACAATCTACATAAAAACTAAAAATCACATTTACACTGCAAGCTCAAGAGGCAGCGATACAGCTGAAAAGTAAATTTCTGCTCTATGTAAAAAATTATGACCATTAGCTACTAAGGGGTCAAAAATGCATGCCAGAACTGAAGACACCGTCTTACGGTTTACAAATGTCATCATCTTTGTTGTTTTAATACAGACACATTTAGATATGAACATAGTAATGGGTTTTTTGTCCAGCTTTCTGCCCTCATTTTTAAGCTGCATCTCTGTTTCTTCATAATTCTCAGAATGTCATTTTGTGCAGTCTCTTCAACAAAGTCCAACCACTAATAAAACTTGATCAGTACTCGTATTTTCCCTTGTCATGTTACCTTTATATAGCACACCATTCACAACCCAATATATCATCCAAGTACTTTTCAACTGGGGAGGATGTAGTTTTGGTGTTGAAGTACTGCATTATTCTGAGGTGTTTCCGTTGATCCTCTAGGGATATTTGCATTCTCATTTTCCCTCTTTATCTACAATATACAGTGGATAGATTCCTCTGCTCAAAAGGCTGAAGATCACTACCAACAGTATCCTTGTAAGAACAGTGTCACCGTTTCACCCCACACAAGTCATTTACAGACTTACAAGTCTACATCAACAAAAACCACAAGACCTGGTATACTGTGTTATAAAATGCGATTTATTCCCCCCCAAGTCTTCTGCAGCATCCTTATGGTGCCTGGAAGAAAAGAAATTGATTAGACTTTTAAATACACTGAGCTGATAGCACATTGGCATAGTTTACAGACTCACCTTTCCATCAAAGCACCGTTGTTCACATGGCCTATCTGCTGGTAAACACACTTCTGTAGAGCACATGAAATAGATCTACAGGGGGAAAAACAAAACACCATTCACCATGGCAGAAACAGTTTATACATCCCATATGCATTTTCCACAGAATGACAGCACTGTTGCCTCTAAAGTACAAAATCTCAAGTGGAGGCAATTCAGTTTGGAGCAGACACTTAACACTTGAAAGCTAGACAAATATTACATTGACATATTTGGTAAATTTCATTTCCACTTTGCAATCATAATAGCGGGATAGAATACATTTAGTCAACAGGTTACGGTTCTATTTGTAAAAAACGACAACTTAATGAACAAGTCACCACATTACTGTGTCAGGGCAGTTGTACACAGCATAGCTTTGACCATTTAGACCCATAACGGCTTCCTGATTACTCACTTCTTCATCAAGGTATTTGTTTGTCTTTTGAACCATAAACTGGAAGGCTTCAACCACAAACCGCCTCTGATGACGATTTTTGCAGTCAATGATTTTAAGGAGGGACACATTTGGAGCATAAAGGTTGGGACACCTGGAGACAAATATGACTCATGGTTAGGCAGAAAGAGGGCGAGGAGGGTGTGTTTTAGTACACATGGAGTTCGGTCATGCTTACCCTTCATAAATAAGCACCAGTGCATTCCTTGCAGAGCGAGGGTAAGCTACACAGTAGTTGACAAGGATTACCGCATCTGGTTTTGGTGATATCAGGCGCAGTTCAAGATAGACTGGACTGCCAAGGAGCAGTCGCAAGGGCTGATTATTTGTGGGCAAGTAGCTTGAATACGTCTGATCTGTTGGGGTTAGACAGACAAAGAGCAAACAGTCAATGAATTTGACAAGTCCATATTTCAGAGCTACTCGTATGCAATCCTACTCCAGCAGAATCAAGATTGTACTTGTTGCAATTGGTATAGAAAATAAGGCATAAATACCCAACCTTTAGCAATTCTCAAGTCAACAGCATATAAGCCATTAGAGAGGACCGCTGACGGCAAGGTGGAACTCGGGGTCTTCACCATGTAGCCAACGCTGGTTAGTGACTGCGGAGCAACGCCTGCTTTGCTATAGCGACACTCAACCATGAACCTATGCAGATACGTGGGTTAACATTTAAGCTTAGCACTACACAAAAACACAACAGAGTGGTAGAATTGTGCCCACAGAGTCAAAGTGTATTGTGTAACACTAACCTGAGTGGATCACGTGTTGCAATTACGCCATACTGGAGGGTCAGAGATTGGATGACAGTCTGCACTTCAGCCAGGTAGATCATCGTCTCACCAACTTCCTGTCAAGAAAAGTCAACTTGTCAGCTGTTTGCTTCAGGTTTCCCAGCAGATTACACAGCATGCATAATGTAAGGCCTGAAGCACACCCTCCAAGACTCCCAGTATGTTTAGAGTGAGTGCATTTATAAAATCCCTTTACTTGTGATTTAGCAATCTGCTCTTTTAATGACCACCACATTGAGAAACACATAATATTCTGTGCACCTTACAGCACAGTTAAAATCTGAAATCTAGATGCAACACTATCAACCTGTGACATAACCGTGCGCTACAATGGCAGGTCAGGGCGAGGAAGTCGAGGCAAACGGAGGGCTGCAGCATTAAACGTGCTGCCTGTATTGGGACAAGAGTCTCAGGGACAGGCCTTTTTCTGCCTGTCAGAGAACATGAAGTCTCTAGCAACTTAACTGAAAGTTAAATGTAATCCCTTCTGTTCACAGTATAGGTAGTAACCCCATTGCAGAAAATAAAATCATCTCCCCTTCAAGGATCTTGCTAATTGTTCAGTCAATCTCAATTGAGCATGAAGGCCTGCAGTGTGAATATAGCTTAACTAGGACTAAGCTTTTAAATTAAGTTTTACGGAGGTCAAGTTGTGAAGCATCTTCCAACTTGCTAAAAAAGTAACAAAGTGGAAAGTGCACTGGGAAAAATGTAAACACAAAGGGCATGACTTACATAAGCATGAACTCCACATTCTGAATTTTTGAACTTAAAGATGGCAACTTTGTCGTTGACAATGACTGGTTTACAGTTTGTACTCCCAGAAACAACAAGCTTGGTGGGGTCCACAGGGATTGATGCAGAGTTGGCACGAATGGCGAACACAAAGTGTTGATCAACAGTGCACTCTAAAGAGAGGGGGGGGCAAAAGTCACTTGAAAGACAGACATTTCCTATTTGAACATTTTTTTAAACCACTTCTCCCTAATCAGAAGCCTCACCATCCATTGGGTAGTAGCAGGTAGATGTAGAAGAATCCACACAGCATCCCATCATCTCACAGTCTGAGGATGATATTCCTGACTGGCCACAAGTCACCTGCTCTCCTGTGGGGATGCCACAACCTAATAGGACAAAGACCAAAAAAATAAACAAATTCTGACATCAAAAAACCAAAATCCAGTAAAGTGTTACTGTACAACATTTCTATTCAGCACATTTGCTGAACATACTTTGTACTGACCATGTGTCATTGGCAATGTTTGTAGTTGCGGCCCTTGCGGGGATGAAGGCTGTTGCGGGGATGGGGGCCCTTGGGGTGAGCCGGGCCCTAGGAGCGCTCCAGGCCGTCGCGGACATGCAGGCCGTTGCGGCCGCGCTCGGGTTGGATGAATTTGCGGGGATGAAGGTTCTTGGGGCAATCCAGGCAGTTGTGGGGATGAAGGCCCTTGGGGCGACCCAGGCCATAGGGGCAAAGAAGGTTCTTGTGGGGATGAAGGCCCTTGGGGCGACCCAGGCCATAGGGTGAGCCAGGCTGTTGCGGGGAAGAAGGTTCTTGTGGGGATGAAGGCCCTTGGGGCGACCCAGGCCCTAGGGGTGAGCCAGGCTGTTGCGGGGAAGAAGGTTCTTGGGGCGAGCCAGGCAGTTGTGGGGATGAAGGCCCTTGGGGCGACCCAGGCCATAGCAAAGGCTGTTGCGGGGAGAGGCCCTTGGGGCGACCCAGGCCTAGGGCAAAGGCTGTTGCGGGGAGAGGCCCTTGGGGCGACCCAGGCCTAGGGGTGAGCCAGGCTGTTGCGGGGAGAAGGCCCTTGGGGCGACCCAGGCCCTAGGGGAGCCAGGCTGTTCGGGGATGAAGGCCCTTGGGGCGACCCAGGCCCTAGGGGCAAAGAAGGTTCTTGTGGGGATGAAGGCCCTTGGGGCGACCCAGGCCCTAGGGGCAAAGAAGGTTCTTGTGGGGATGAAGGCCCTGGGGCGACCAGGCCCTAGGGGCAAAGAAGGTTTGTGGGGATGAAGGCCCTTGGGGCGACCCAGGCCCTAGGGGCAAAGAAGGTTCTTGTGGGGATGAAGGCCCTTGGGGCGACCCAGGCCCTAGGGGCAAAGAAGGTTCTTGTGGGGATGAAGGCCCTTGGGACGACCCAGGCCCTAGGGGCAAAGAAGGTTCTTGTGGGGATGAAGGCCCTTGGGCGACCCAGGCCCTAGGGGCAAAGAAGGTTCTTGTGGGGATGAAGGCCCTTGGGACGACCCAGGCCCTAGGGGCAAAGAAGGTTCTTGTGGGGATGAAGGCCCTTGGGACGACCCAGGCCCTAGGGGCAAAGAAGGTTCTTGTGGGGATGAAGGCCCTAGGGGTGAGCCAGGCTGTTGGGGCCCTTGGGGCGATCCAGGCCCTAGGGGCGAGCCAGGCTGTTGCGGGGATGAAGGCCCTTGGGGCGACCCAGGCCCTAGGGGCGAGCCAGGCTGTTGCGGGGATGAAGGCCCTTGGGGCGACCCAGGCCCTAGGGGCAAAGAAGGTTCTTCTGGGGATGAAGGCCCTTGGGACGACCCAGGCCCTAGGGCAATCCAGGCTGTTGCGGGGAAGACGGCCCTTGGGTGACCCAGGCCCTAGGGGCGAGCCAGGCTGTTCGGGGATGAAGGCCCTTGGGGACCCAGGCCCTAGGGGCAAAGAAGGTTCTTCTGGGGATGAAGGCCCTTGGGACGACCCAGGCCCTAGGGGCCAGCCAGGCTGTTGTGGGGATGACGGCCCTTGCGGTGACCCAGGCCCTAGGGGCCAGCCAGGCTGTTGTGGGGATGACGGCCCTTGCGGTGACCCAGGCCCTAGGGGCCAGCCAGGCTGTTGTGGGGATGAAGGCCCTTGCGGTGACCCAGGCCCTAGGGGCCAGCCAGGCTGTTGTGGGGATGAAGGCCCTTGGGGCGAGCCGGGCCCTAGGGGCAATGAAGGTTCTTGGGGCGAGCCAGGCTGTTGCGGGTATGAAGGCCCTTGTGGCAAGCCGGGCCCTAGGGGCCAGCCAGGCTGTTGGGGCCCTTGGGGTGAGCCAGGCTGTTGGGGGGATGAAGGCCCTTGTGGTGAGCCGGGCCCTTGCGGTGACCCAGGCTGTTGGGGGGATGAAGGTTCTTGGGACGACCCAGGCCCTAGGGGCAATCCAGGCTGTTGCGGGGATGAAGGTTCTTGGGACGACCCAGGCCCTAGGGGCAATCCAGGCTGTTGCGGGGAAGACGGCCCTTGCGGTGAGCCGGGCCCTAGGGGCGAGCCAGGCTGTTGGGGATGAAGGTTCTTGGGACGACCCAGGCCCTAGGGGCGAGCCAGGCTGTTGCGGGGATGAAGGCCCTTGCGGTGACCCAGGCCCTAGTGGCAATGAAGGTTCTTGGGCCGAGCCAGGCTGTTGCGGGGATGAAGGCCCTTGTGGTGAGCCGGGCCCTAGGGGTGAGCCAGGCTGTTGGGGCCCTTGTTGTGACCCAGGCCCTAGGGGCAATGAAGGTTCTTGGGGCGAGCCAGGCTGTTGCGGGTATGAAGGCCCTTGTGGCAAGCCGGGCCCTAGGGGCCAGCCAGGCTGTTGGGGCCCTTGGGGTGAGCCGGGCCCTAGGGGTGAGCCAGGCTGTTGGGGGGATGAAGGCCCTTGCGGCGAGCTGGGCCCTTGCGGTGACCCAGGCTGTTGGGGGGATGAAGGTTCTTGGGACGACCCGGGCCCTTGCGGTGACCCAGGCTGTTGGGGGGATGAAGGTTCTTGGGACGACCCAGGCCCTAGGGGCAATCCAGGCTGTTGCGGGGATGAAGGTTCTTGGGACGACCCAGGCCCTAGGGGCAATCCAGGCTGTTGCGGGGAAGACGGCCCTTGTGGTGAGCCGGGCCCTAGGGGCGAGCCAGGCTGTTGTGGCAATGAAGGTTCTTGGGGTGAGCCAGGCCCTTGCGACGACCCAGGCTGTTGCGGAGATGAAGGTCCTTGCGGTGAGCCAGGCCCTTGCGACGACCCAGGCTGTTGCGGGATGAAGGTCCTTGGACGAGCGGGCCCTAGGGGCGAGCCAGGCTGTTGCGGGGATGAAGGTCCTTGGGACGAGCCGGGCCCTAGGGCGAGCCAGGCTGTTGCGGGGATGAAGGCCCTTGCGGCGAGCCAGGCCCTAGGGGCGAGCCAGGCTGTTGCGGGGATGAAGGTTCTTGGGGCGAGCCAGGCCCTTGCGGCAAGCCGGGCCCTAGGGGCGAGCCAGGCTGTTGCGGGGATGAAGGCCCTTGCGGCAAGCCGGGCCCTAGGGGCGAGCCAGGCTGTTGCGGGGATGAAGGTTCTTGGGGCGAGCCAGGCCCTTGCGGCAAGCCGGGCCCTAGGGGCGAGCCAGGCTGTTGCGGGGATGAAGGCCCTTGCGGCGATCCGGGCCCTTGAGGTGACCCAGGCCCTAGGGGCAATGAAGGTTCTTGGGGCGACCCAGGCCCTTGGGGTGACCCAGGTTGTTGGGGCCCTTGGGGCAATGAAGGCCCTTGCGGCAAGCCGGGCCCTAGGGGCAAGCCAGGCTTTTGTGGACATGCAGGCCGTTGTGGCTGCGCTCGGATTGGCTCAATGCGCTTAAATGTGGGATAGGATTGGCCACTGGAGCCAGGAAATACGCCTGGGTCAACCTTCAGGCTTCTCTCACAAGATGCGGTAGCAACTTGTGTCTGATCAAACGCATTGACGTACAACAACTGCAGGCTGTAGCGGTTACTCTGTAATACAAAGAGCTTTTTGAAGTAAGAACTCAATTCAAGACATGCAAAACTACACCAATATAATAGACTACAGAGCCAAGACAATTACTTCAAAGTACATTTAACAAAGCCTACCCGTTTCACATGGCCCGGTAAAGGGTACAGCCAAGGTGTTAGTCAAAGGGTTCACTTCATAACCACAAGACTCTGGAGCATCCATAACAGACAGCAGGTCCTTTGAGCCTGATGAACGAAGTGAAAGCCTAGTCAGTTTACAACATGCATTCAGCAAAATAAAGACATTTAAATAGGCAGCAAAGTCAAGTACATACCCACAACTTTAACTTCACTTAATGAACCTTTCAGCACAGTAATTTGAAAGCCAACGTCACTGCAAACCACATCTAGCCCAGTCCGACGCCGACTGGTACCGCTGGTCTGGCTCCTTGAAGGGGTATTGTCAAATTCCATCTGGAAACTACTATCAGTACCTCTGCGCCATGTTCTTGGACTAGAATCTACTGTGTCAATCTGGTCTCCATGGTTAGCAAAATTGTAGAAGTTTCCACTGGCGGTGGCACCTTCAACTTGAAGCAATGAATCCTCAAGAACTGCATCTTCACCGCTGTCGTCCTCCCTGCGGTCATCTGGAGTGGAGAGGGGCAATTGTTACCAATGTCACAGATTGCAGTCAAAGAGAATTCAGCCATTTCCTGTCAAATCGATGTAGACAGCCCAGCCAAATGGTTTCTTCCAGTCTTTATGACTAAGCAGTTGCTAGAGTGGACTGAAACACAGACATCTCAGGTCATCCATGCTTGATATGATGGAAATACATAGGCTAAAACTAGGTACACGACAATCTCCACTATCGCGGCTGCCATCTTTGTTCCGATAGACGTTAACTCTGGTTTTTCCCTCAGGCGTCTTGCGGTGTTGAGAAAGTTACTCTTTTTGCAGAACTTCCAGGTTCTGATTCATTACACCGCCAGAATAATAGATACCTCCTCGTTTCCCATTGAAATACTGGCATTGTGAGTGCGCCAAAGTCACAAAATAATCTCATTTTTTGCTGAAGTATAAACATTTGTAAACAACTGTAATAGATATTTAGTTTAATTGCTAAACTACAAGTGAACAAAATTTCAATGAATTTGAACAACAACCTTGGGAGTTTTATTGCCCGCAAAATCTGCTTCAATTGACTAAGAACATAAGAAGCAGCCAGCAGAGTGTGCTATAGCCATGCCGTAGGGTCACACCTTTTGCTTTAACTTCAGGGGAAAACAAGACAAGTGTAAGGGACTACTTTTGGCTTTTAAATGACCAGTGTTGTGCAATTATTGAAGCAATAAACCTGGTCTTGTTATCATTTTCAAGTATTTCAAGCCCTTTCCAGCTGTACAATTTGTTTTAGCATTTGACCACACTGCAAATTTTGTTCACATACCTACTACAATCATAAAGTCCATGACTTTGTAAATGACAGCTACAAAGCGATGTCTGCGTGTTACCATCCCTCATAAATGACAGTGGTCCAGTTGTAGACGTATGCAAAAGACGACATTTGCAAGAACCTGCTTTCAGTGACCACACGCTTATTATCGGTGCTGTGTCATTGGTGGTTGTTTACCTGGCGAGGGACGTTGAATTTTCTTGATCCGCGCCCATCCCTCTACTGAAACCAGCAGAGTCGCAGTCAGGACCAGCAGCAGCTCTACCCTGACGCCAGCCATGAATCAATGTGAAGGCCCTCCTGCAGTTGCTGAGCACCCAGACAAAGATATAGCCTCTTGAAACGGAGCGGGTGGCGGTTTGAAGTCAATTGAGTGCACCTGGTGACTACTGATTGGCACTCAACTAAAGTCACAGGTTTGGGAATGAAAACTGCCTGTTACTAAAGGAAATGCCTATTCTGTTTAAGTTACAGATAAAAATCAAACAATGACCAACATTTAATGATGTAAATGTATGACATTATGTTACAAGTTACAGGCACACAGTCTGTGCAAATACTTTTTGAAATCTTTTCTTAAGTATAACTGGAATTTATCTTTCAGACAAACATTTTGAATACTGCAAGCATGTTCAGTTATTTATTTTTCTAAATAACACCTTGGATATTGCTTGTTAACATTTAATCAACACAGGGTTTTCCTTTGGGTGCTGCATTACATTTGGAGGTGTCTCTAATATTGTCATTGTCTTCCTCATGTACAGTGTGTACATGTCATTGTTTAAAAAAATCATTGAAATAGATTAAATACTATATGAAACCATCTCTCCATCTCAAAAGTAGAATCAACAGCTAAAACCATCTTACAAGCATCACACAAATACATTCTATCACAAAGATGTTGAATAGATTACACTTTACAGTTATCCTAAAGGTTGTCTTAACATTTAAATGCTTCATTTCACTGACGGATGGATGGATTTCACTGACTGAAATAATTAAACTCAGCTGGCTTTCATTTCAGTCTCCAAAAGAAAAGCTTCATGTAAACGGCTATGTTCAAATGTATTTCACAGAGCATTGCCGGACTTTTATCTTTTAAAGTTCTTCCATGATGATGGATCAGAAATCACACCTTTCAGCGTCTTTAACTAGAAGAAAAATATAAAATAAGACACCGAAATTTCTCGGGGGTGGCAAAAGAGTTTATTGCAATATTTCAGTACAAGAACACAAACACCCATATAGTCTACTACTGCACCACAAGTCAAATAAGCAGACTATTCAAAAGTCTTTATCATTTAAAACATTAATGTCCTTTCTTGTAATCTTATTCTCTAGAGCCAAAAGAAAAACCTGGGTGTTTTTTTAGTAGTGAAGTAGAAATTCCCTTGTAGGCGTTGGCCTTATATTTGACTTTGTATGTAAACGCACCGCCCCAAACGATTGCTTCACTTTTGGTCTGAAAGCACCATAATAGCAATGCGCCAAAGTACATGCGCACCTGGCTTTAAAAGGGAATGGGAAATGATAACGATGCCATTTGACCAACTATAGTGTAATGATTATTGACAAATATATATTGACATTTAGGCTACCTCTCCTCCACTCTGTAGGGCAATCGCCTGCAGGACTTAAAAACAAGGCAAAAACATAAAAGGTGCGCAATGTGTTTCAGCGTCGTCAAGGTAACGTGATAAAGTGCTGTCCCGTTCACAGCATTTTGAGCCAGTGACGTCAGTAAAGTCTGAGGGTTCAGGGCTTGGGCCTTGGACTCTAGCTCAAAGACTTGTGAGCATGTCTGACACAAAGATTTTCCCCCTCATCATTTTTAACTGCCCCCTCAGTCACTTCATCCTGGCGCCAGGCCTGAAACCAGGAAATATTTTCCATCAAATATGATCCAGTTTCAGCAAAATCAGTGAATAAAGTTGTGCTTTTATGAAGTAAGCAGTGGTATTTTTGTCATTGATGGACCAGATGGTTGTGCACCACAGACAATCTAAAAAACTAAAAATCACATTTACACTGCAAGCTCAAGAGGCAGCGATACAGCTGAAAAGTAAATTTCTGCTCTATGTAAAAAATTGACCATTAGCTACTAAGGGGTCATAAATGCATGCCAGAACTGAAGACGCCGTCTTACGGTTTAAAATGTCATCATCTTTGTTGTTTTAATACAGACACATTTAGATATGAACATAGTAATGGGTTTTTTGTCCAGCTTTCTGCCCTCATTTTTAAGCTGCATCTCTGTTTCTTCATAATTCTCAGAATGTCATTTTGTGCAGTCTCTTCAACAAAGTCCAACCACTAATAAAACTTGATCAGTACTCGTATTTCCCTTGTCATGTTACCTTTATATAGCACACCATTCACAACCCAATATATCATCCAAGTACTTTTCAACTGGGGAGGATGTAGTTTTGGTGTTGAAGTACTGCATTATCTGAGGTGTTTCCGTTGATCCTCTAGGGATATTTGCATTCTCATTTTCCCTCTTTATCTACAATATCAGTGGATAGATTCCTCTGCTCAAAAGGCTGAAGATCACTACCAACAGTATCCTTGTAAGAACAGTGTCACCGTTTCACCCCACACAAGTCATTACAGACTTACAAGT